CCCTGGCCACAGCCGCCAACTGGTCGTCCAGTGTCAGCCGTGGGTCCAGGAGGACCCCCAAGTTGCGAACCCTCTCCGAGGGGGCCAGGGTTTCGCCCCCTATAGTCAGCGATGGAATCAGCTGACCATACCTGGGAGCCGGCAGCCACAACCACTCAGTCTTGGAAGGGTTGAGCCTGAGTCTGTTTCTCCCCATCCACAAGGTTGGTTTTAGTAAGTAGTGTTACAAGTGGCCAAAGCATGGCGAGCTTGATTATGAGGACTTCAAGAGTTAAATCCTATGCAAGTTAAAAATGAAAAATGTAGTAACAAAACTTATTGAACAATGATTTTAAAAATTATAATATTATTGAGTTTTGCTGCCTGTACATTGATGAAAATTCATAACTTATCTTGCTGTTATTGTATTTTTCAGAGGGTGAAGGAAGGCAAAAGAGGATCAGTTATCCTTGATTTAATACTAATCAACAGGGAAGATTTGGAAGTAGCAGAAAGAACAGAGAAAGCAACCATCTGATGTTGGAATTCTTGATTTTGACAGAAATGAAATGTGTCTCTTGGACTTTAGAAAAAGAAACCCTGAGCAACAATGAGTAGGAGTTGATGGCAGGAAAAACTAATGGAAAAGAAGTTCAAGATGGGTGGGAATGCCTAAAAGAGAAATACTAAAAGCATAATAGCAATCAAGCAATTCCACTGGGTGAGGGGAAAAATAGAAGACAAATAAAAGAATATGGCTACTAAAAAAATATCGCAGAACTGAAAACAAAAAAGAATACTTGGAGGAGTTGCAAAAAGGATCAGGTAACCGAAGGAGAGTATACAGGTTGGAAGTCTGGCAAGCTTAAAATTCAGGAAAAACTAAAATTTATTCTTATTTATTTATTTGTTTGTTTATTTGTTTGTTTTACATGCCATCCATCTCACTGATAAAGTCATTCTGGGAGGCTTACAAAATGGTAAAAAAGATAAATATAAAAGTTAAAATTAGTAAGATTTAAATAAGAACCAAAACCAAGGAGCTGGATAACATGAGGGTGGGACCTTCTCTCTTATCCCTTCAATCACCTCCAGTGAAGAGCACCCCCATCAGGGCTCAAGCCAGTCAGCAAAACCAGGTTTTAAGGCTCTTGGGGAAGTTAATGAAAGATGTCAAAATAACAAAAAATTGTTAGGGTTAGAATAAAATACAAAATAAAATAAAATAATGTGCATAATATATATTCACTGAAGACAACTAAATACTAGCAGATGATGTTTTATTTTTTCTGAACAAAAACAAATATTGCATGTATTTCAACAGAAAATTGTGCAGAGCAAGACAAAGTTGAAGAATTGAATAATGAAACTGAAAAAAAAATAGCCATGGAATATCCCCATAGTTGAGGAATTGCAACCTAGCACCTCAAAGAAATTAAGTAATGATCCAATCAATGCTTCATTTATTCACTTTGAGAAATCCTGGAGAACTGGTGAAATATCAGGTGTACGGAAAAGGAAAATATCGTCCTCATATTCAAAATTTGGAAAAAAAGGAGGATTCTTTGACTATTATCATTCTAATACGATGTCTGGGGAGACTCTAGGAAAAGGCATAAAGTGATTGATCTGCAACAGAATGTAGCATAGATTTGATAAAAAACAAGTCTTGCTACACTATGTTTTTCAATCAGGTAGATTCCTTAATAGATAGTGACATATTTGAACTAGTTTCTTGGCAAGGTTTTTTGGAAATCATTTGCTATTGTCTCCTTTCTGGGCCTAATAGAGAGTGACTGGCCCAAAGTCAAGCCGGTGGATTTGTGCCATAGGCAGGAGTAGAATTTCTGGCCCAGTTCCTAGCCTGATGCCTTAACCACTATACCAAACTGGGTTTCATAGACATTATATTACTTGATTGGGCATACAATAAGGGCAATATGGCCTAACAATTAAGTGAATACATAGATGATTCAAAAATCTTATTTAAAAGATCTCCATCAATTATTCCAAATCATATTGCAAAAAGGTACCAAGTGCAGTGCCATGAAGTTCACTCTTCAGTATTTGTCATGGCCCCCTCAGAGGCTGGTTCGGAGGAGGAGAAGGAGGAAGAGTTGGAGCTGGGACTGTCCGACAGGGAAGGCACACCAGGGGCTGAGGACAATGCTGTCCCGGGTCCCACAGGCATTGGGGAGGTGGTCGACCAGATGGAGAGCTACCTGTACAGGGGAGGATCGGTACTGACCAGCAGTGGTACTGATAGGGAGCTAATCTCCTCTGATGAGGAACAGCTGCCTGCTCCACTGATCCAAGGGCAAGGAGAGTGGAGCATAGGCAAGCCCAGAGAAGGGCTGCAAGGCTACTCGGGAGGAGGTCGCCCCATCCCTCCTCACAAGGAACACCTGGAGGGAAGTAACTTAAGGAGAAACCGCGGGGAGTTAGTCTCTGCCAGGAACAATTGTTTGCTTTGGTTTACACTCACCTGGCTTTTACTTGTGCCTGTTGCTATTTGCCTTGCCTCGCCTGGAAGGTTGCCCTTTGTATTTTGCCTAGGAGCTCACCCTTCTCTGGTGGCCTACGTTGGGCCTTTGCTTCACTGGGGCTTTGGCAATGCTTCTTTTCTGTCTTGTGCCTTGACTCTGCCTGGTGGATTGGACTTGGAACCCTGGACCTTGTCCAGTGAGCGTGCTCCTACTCTGGGGGCTTTCTTGGTACTAGAGGGACTGTTGTTTGGGGGACTGAAGGTGGCTGCCTTCAGGGTAGCGTGAGGGTGGAGCCTTACCAGTTGTTGGAGGGCCATTGGCTGGAACATTGTTTAAAAGAAATAAAGAACTCTTTAGAGACCTTCATTGCCTTGACCACCTGGGCCATAACAATATTTGACAGACAGAATGCATACCAATTTTTCAAATAACACTGAATTTTGTGGGACAACCAATACAACAAAAATCAAAATCACCCTTGATAAATTACAGAAATAGTTGAAAGAAATATTATGAAAGTTAAATAAGACCAATGCAAAGTCATGCACTTCAACATTAACTAGTGGAATAGCTTCCCTTCAGAAATCATGGGTGCTCCATCACTTGAGGTTTTTAAGAAGAGACTAGATAGTCACTTATCTGAGATGGTATAGGTTCTCCTACTTGAGCAGGGGGCTGGACTAGAAGACCTCCAGGGTCCCTTCCAACTCTATTCTATTCTATTCCAAAATCAATTTCTTCACAGTGATATTTGTGAATGTATTGAAATAGTAGTTGATAACAAATTATGCAAATCAGTAGTATGGTGTGGCTGCAAACAAATGAAAATCTGGTCTACATCAATAGAAATATAGTTTCTAAATTACAAACAGTAGAATCTGCATTGATTAGACCCCATCCTGAGTTTTGGTTTGGACACAAAATTTTTGGAAGGTTTCAGAAAAACTGAAGGGCAAGAATAAAAGTGGATCATGACTAATGATCAGCTTAATCAAAAGTCATGCTAGAATGATTGATCCATTTGCAGACATAACTAATGAATGAAGTCATTCCAGAATGAGCAGGAAGACCTTTTCCATCCCAAATCATTGGATCAAACCTGGGCATAGAATGACTAGGAGGACATAAGAGTCCCAGTGATCAGTAGTTCAACCATTAATTCTGAGGTATGGAGGCATTGTGGAAGACTAGAATCTGAAAATAATATTCCAGAGATCAATGAAAACAGTGTGTCCCAACATCTCACTTCCAAACAGGGAATAAATTGTAATGATGTCCAGATTTGGACTTACTGAAAATTGTTCAGAGGCCATCACATTGTTCTGATAAGTATTGTAAGTAGAGAGAAGAAAAAGGGCTAGTTTGATTCAGTTCATTAATATAGTTCTTTACTCAATGTTCTCTCTAGCCAAGAACCACAATTACTAACATCTTAATAACGAAAAAGATTACTGGTTATCATTTCTTAAATATGCACCTAAGGAAAAATTGCTTTATAATGCCTGTTATTTTCATTATTCTTAACCAGGAAGAAAATTCAGGGTTATAAATCTAAGTTTTCCTTAGGTGTATAATTTGGGACTGAAAAATTGTTAAATAAATAATAGTAAGTATGGTAATTTATCGCTTGGTGGTATAAATGTTGCATATGATACATGAATGAAAACTGATGAAGGGAATGGAACTTAAGGGTGAATGAGCTGGACACATCCATGAGCTTCATTGTTAGGATTTCTAGAACACTCTGATTATAATAAGTTGTGATAAGGAAACAAAAATGACTACACAGACATCATTTGAAGCCATTTGTTTCAATACTTTGAGGATGCATCTTCCTTTTGCATAGCTCACCAATTTATCTGCATCATGTGAGTTAAACTCAGGAGTGAAGAAGAATATGATGCATTGTTGTAAGATCTGGTAATCTGGAAAGAGGTAAGAGTTAACATATGCAGTATTAGTCTCTTTGAAATGACTTACCAAAGCAACCCAAGCACTTTTTCCACCGTGAGCTCCACATAAATATAAGAGGAAAAGAAGTGTAGAAATTACAAAGCAAAACACCGAGACAAACATCACCCAGCCTTGACTCAAGTGTTCACCAACTTTGGTAGAAGCCACAAGGATCCAGACCAGGCCACCAAAGACCTACAAGAAAGTATAAAAATAGTTTATCAGTAATAAATTAACATAGCTAGATTTTCACAGTGTGCTAGACCAGAGGTCCCAACTTTTTGGGCACCAGGGACCAGTGCCATGGAGAAAGGTTTTTCCACGGACCAGAGGGGGTATAGTTTTGAATACTGCCTGCATCCCAAGGATGGAGTTTTTCTTGTTTGTGCGGCCCGCTTTCTGGCATGCTGCGGACCAGTGCCAGTCCATGGACTGGGGGTTGGTGACTCCTATGCTAGACTATGCTAAAATACACTGGGTAGCTTGTGGTTAAACAAGTTATAGAAATCCAGACATGTTGCCTTTACAAGTCTTAAACAGATTTAGAAGAATGCCATTAATTTTTTAAAAATTCGTTTATCTGCATTTGTCCTCCAAAAGTACTGTAGTGTACAAGATTTCCGCCATCCTGCTTTATCCTTATAATCAAACACTGAAAGTGTCTACCTCAATGTCACTCTTTTGAATGGAGTGAAAATTTTGTCTTTCTGATTTAGGTTTATATCAACCCCAATGCCATACTTATAGTACTGACCGGAATGTGGCTTGAAATGTACAAGACGAGACAGTTTTCTGTGTTTCTGATTAAAATGGTGTCTTTGGGAAAGAATAACAGAATAACAGACTTGGAAGGGACCTTGGAGGTCTTCTAATCCAACCCTCCTCTCAACCTGATGTTCGTCTGCAAATCTGATGAATTCCCCTCTATCCCCTTGTCTAAATAATTGATGAAGATATTGAAGAATACTGGGCCTAAGACAAAGCCTTGGGATACCTCTCTGCATATTTCCCTTCATTTAGATGCAGTTCCATTGAGGGCTACACATTGAGTGCAGTTTGTCAGCCAATTACAAATCCATCTGGTGGTGATGCTATCTAACCCACATTTTCTATTTTATCAAGTAGGAGGTTGTGGTCTACTTTATCAAATGCCTTACCAAAGTGCAAGTAAATTAAATCCACAGTCTACTAATTTTGTCACCTGGTCAAAGAATGCAATAAGATTTGTTTTTGACAAACCCATGTTGGCTTTTGGTTATGACTTTGTATGTCTCTAGGTGTTTGCTGATTCGTTGCTTGATTATCTTTTCCAGAATCTTCCCAAGTATTGAGGTCAGGCTGATAGGTCTGTAGTTTCCTGGATCATTTTTTTCCCTTTTTTGAAGATGGGAACTACATCAGCTCTTTTCCAGTCATCTGGTAGTTCCCCAGTGCTCCAATGTTCAGTGGTTTCAGAAGTTATAAAGCCTCTTCCAGTGAGAAATGGGGCAGGATTTCTTCTCCCCCAGTCTGAATGGGCTTCAAGTCATGAGAACAAGGGCTATAGGCGAGGATTTTTACTGGATTCAGGGCTCTGATATGCTCAAAATCAGTGGGAGAACTGAACCAGTGAAACTGTCAAGATCCAGAAAGTATAGACAGAAGTATTGGCAATGTTTTATTTCAATACTGCTTTGCTCAGTTGTGTCCTTTTATCTTTGCTCACAATTTCTGTCTCTCTATCTCTTTGCCTATGTGCCTGCAGCAAAGTAACAAATGCAAGCTTTTGTAGGATGATCCAGGCCTCCTATAACTTGGTATAGCTATCTTATTCTCCCACTACTTTCTTTGTTCTAGCACTATTTATTTCAAAAGCACTTGCCCTGATAAGCCTGGTTAAAAGGTGAAACTGGGGTTATTTATTTAAAGGCTTAGCCTAGAGAAGAAATTTCCTGTTCCATTCCATTCAGATTCCAGGTGAAAGGATGAGGCACCTTCTCTTCAAAAACAGATTGTGGGAATTTAATTACCTGCCTGACTGGGTCACTTTCACTTGGGAAACAGCTACAACCAGATCCCCTGGAACTCAAAGGAGAATGGAGTCTAAATAGGGCAGGTTTATACCTTGCTACAACTTACTACTGATAGAGCTACCCTTCCAGGAGAGTTAACAAGTTATCACATTTGCATGTTGTTTACATTTTCCTTTCATAACAAAGATCCCTTCACAAGGGCCCTAACTATCAGTTTTAATTGAATCACAAATGTGAGGTGGGTAACTATATAAATTTATTAAAGAAATGCAATTAATTGTTATACAGTAATTCTGCATTGGCTGCAAAAGCAGACACAGGCTTTGTTCAAAAACTACCACCCAACTCTAGTTATAATTAATTTTCTTTCCAACCTTCAGTGTAACTATAATAGTCAGCTATACTTCAACCCTTCCCAAGAAAGGAAGAGCTTTGGGTTCAAGGATGCTCAAAACACCTTGCATTTTTGTCATGGGCAGATACACAATATGTTAGATCGCGCAGGCAGTAAGACACGAGTCGAGTGACAGTCAGCTCTCGGTTTATTGGCAAGGCATCAAGTAAATCCGGACTAGCTCTCTGGGCCAGGGGAGCCCTCTTTTATGGGATTCCCCTGGCTTGTAATCACACAATTCCATTGGCTGGCAAGACCCTGTTGCTAGTTAGCCAACCAGCAACGGGCATGAAACTGTATGCAGATGGAGAAGGGCAATCACCCTTAATGGGCGATGAATGGTGAAGGGCAATCACCCTTAATGGGTGATCAGGATATG